TATTATATAGTATGTAGTTATATTATATTATATTGCAGGGATGGGCAACTCAAAGCTGCAAGAGGGCCAATTTTGAATGTGGGTAAATCTAGCGGACCTGAGAACATAGAAAGCAAAAAAAAACCTAATGTTAACAACACCCCTATAAATAATATAATATTATTTACATTTAATAGTTCAACACTAGATAAGAATTTATATCTAAGTTTTACGATAAACATTATATCTATTTTAATAATTTTATAAATATAATACAATTAAATACAGAAAAATCTTAACATTTTATATTTTTATTAACTAAAGTGAAATGTAGCAAGGACCAGTAAAAAATGGTAGGCCAGGGTATGGCATCCCTGATATATTGTACCGTATCATAGTAACTCAGTAACCGAAAATCTTGACAAATTAGAAACGTGAAGAGGGCCGTGAAAAGGTCTATTATAAAAGGTCTATGATATCAATATACAATAACGAACGATGTGCATATCTATTAGAACTTAATTTAATTAAATCGTTAAATTATTTGTGTATGAATCAGTACGTTACTTAATCATTAGCCATTCGTAGTTGACCAATATGTTAATTATTATTGGTGGGTGGCTGCGAAATCCCAAATATTGTCATTAGCCAAAGGGCCGTGGTTAGCAAAGCATTGGACATTACTCTCCTAAATGGATCTTCCTAAATAAAATATAGTCAACACCTTAGGAGATGTATTTTATCGTAAATCATTTCATGGGATGAGTGTACCGATGTTTGTAATTTATTGCGGCGATCGGAGACAATGTCAAAGATAAACGAATAATAAAAACTAATCATTTGTTTTAAGACGTTAATACATGTTAATCATAGCATTACGAAAGTCAAATATTATTACGTTTAACAACTTGTTATTCAACAGATAGATTTTCCTCGTATCTAACAATTAAATAATACTTAATTTACTAGGTAGGTAATTCGCATAATTTCCTATATAGGTATTTAAAATTGTATAAAACAACTAACAAGTGTCATATCCGCCTGGCATTAGCTGTGACTAATCGGTTTGATTAGCATAATTATTTAATCTTATTGTGATGATATCTCATTCACTTCGGTACATGGTGTAGTAATCGAAATCGCTACCCTAATTACTAGTCGTATGACGTATAATATTATGTTGGCAATTAAATCTTGTATTCAAGATTCATTCTTCATATTGACATATCAGTCTACTACCGGTGTTAGCCAAATTATTCGGAAACATTATACTCCGCATCATCAGATCTTATTGAATCTCATAACCAAAAAATAATTCCAGACATTTAATTGGGTCCAAACATTCTACCACAGAACAAATATAGGTACATAGGATCATAGACGAAATATCTACCTCGTTTGACGAAAAAAAATACTGCACTGGCGTCTTCCTCGACGTATCCCAAGCATTTGACCAAGTATCGCATCAAGTTCTTCTTTTTAAAATAGAAAAAAATGTCTATTAGCACCCCTTTATTTGATAATTAAATCATATCTCTCTAATAATAAATTTTTCTTCAGACAAGAATCTCTTACCTCAAAATCCAAGCAGGAGTTCTACAATTAAGCGATCTGCCTCCAGACTTATATACAATTTTCACTGAAGACATATCAAACGCTAATAATATTCTAACCGCTACATATGTATTAAGTGAACATAGTAATAATATTACAACATTCTCCAATCTCCAATCGCATCTTACAAAAAAAGAAAAATGGGCATCCATTAGGAAAATCAAAATTAATGTTAAAAAGTCCTTCCACGTTTCTTCCGAAAACAAACATCTCCCGTCCTTTACTTTGAGAGAATGAAAATTCCAACCAAAACCCAAATTAAAAATCTTAAAAATATGGGCCTGATCTTCGACAAACGTCTCACCTGGGGCCCTCTCTTAAAAGCAACAAGGAAAATACTTAATAGTAGGCTACACCAAAATTGAAACTATAACCACAGTTGGACCCAACCTCAACAAAAAAATTCACTCTAAACTTGGGACCCACACCAACCAACTTTCAGCTACTCAAAATGGAGTCAACACACCAAATAATCCCACCAGATGGTTAAAAAGACGCTGGTACAGGAATTTACTAAATTCCTATCCTCATAAATATTATATTATCATATACATTTGCTCCGTCATATTTAACCTATTTGCTTATTGTAAATATTTTGCCACAGATAGTAAATTTGATATTTTAATAAAAAAAAAAAGTAATAATAACATTATTCACCAATCATAAACGTTATAATTGTCCAAAAGCATATGAAATTATATCGATATAAACCAGACATGTACGCTATTCTCCGGTATCTTATAAAAATAATAATCGAAACACGATATGTTATTTTTTTTCAAATTTAAAACGAATATGTATAACTGTTAAATTATCATTACAATATTATGACTTATTTGTTTTTACAAGAAGTAATTCCGTGGCACTTGCTGTTACACAACTTGTCAACCCCGCGGCAGGCACAACGTTTATTGATATAACCAGTCTTGCAATGGCAGCTGCTATGGTACGCCCGAGGGCCCTTAACACAACTATAACTCCGGCCCACGAGAAAACCACCCGTTTTTGGTGGATATTGTCTGACAGTTAACCAGCAACTGATTCGATCAGTTACGGACAGGCTGTCTGACTGTATAAATGTATAATCATCAATCATAAATGTCCTGTATCCGATTAATCTAGTAATTACTATCAACATTTTCATACAGTGATTGACGCACCTAATTTACCAAAAAAATATCCATAATTAGTACGAAAATAACATCAATGCCCTCCGAATAACGTTATACATTCCGATGTTAACATACCTATTATATTATGGTATTATATTTCAACATAAAATAGTTGAATTACTATAATGCATTAAATGTTAGAGAATTCTAATGGCATCTGCTACTGAAGCGATAATGATCAATAAAAAAATTAATAAATGTTAGAAATTAGAATATCTTAGAAAATATATATTATTTCTAGTTGTATTTCAGATTTTGAAATATTTTAGATATTTATTTCAATAGACAAGTATTTAATTCAAAAATACTATTCAATTTATAGTCTGTAGTAGGACTGTAGCTTTAGGGGCATAAATTACGTAAAATATAAATACGATTCACCAAGTCGATCTACTGCAGAAAATAACGTATAACGAGTACAAAATTTGAATTATTTGGTTACAGATTTAATGTCGTAGTAATTGTCTATGCGTGATAAATATAAAACCTGCAGAAATTTAGTAAAAAATCTTAACACAAAACATCAATCATTTGACAAAGTATATAATATGGAACATTTTCTAATCCTACTTTTATAGTATGTATCGAAAAAAAATTCATACGATAATGATAATAATATTATTTAGGTATAGCTACCATAGTAAAATATCATATACCTTTATAATATATATGTATAATGTATATATGTGTATATGTGCACGCTTATTGAGATGATGCTAATATTATGCATTTATGTCTATTAAGTGAAATTGGGTGAAGTCTGACTTGCCCTCAAACTGATACACGATGATGAACAATACAATGCCACAGTTAAACTGGCTTAACCATGCATACCTAGTTTGTACGGGAGGACAGTTTCTAATTTTTTGTTATAGCTTAGGTATGTAGTATAAAAACATTTAAACATTTTTAAAAAAAAATTACTGTCATAAATAATTATATAATATTATCAGTTGACATTTTTTATTATTTAATCATTTAAAATGTACTCAATAATGGAGGTTTATTTAAAACCAAAACTTTTCTTTTATGAGGTTGACAAACGAGTACAGCGTACCCTCTTTTACCTACCTCCTCAAGTACACCACTGTACAGGCTTGGAATGTTTACATTCTCTCTCTCTCTCTCTCTCTCCCTACACACACACACACACACACACTCACATATATGTATATTATGCGTCGTATTTGTATAAATACTAATGTAGTTTTTCGTTATAATTAGTTGGTATATAACTAGTAAAGTATACTGTATATTATATACAATATTTATCTGAAATGCACATTTGAGTATGAAATATCAATATTGTACTTAGGTATAGGTAGTTGAATAATTTTCAACCAAAAGTATTCGAAGAATACACAAGTCAAATAATATTTGAATTCAAAAAGTTCGGAAATCATATGTATTTTACAAGAATATCCACCAAATCATAGTGGCTTGTCCTTATAATTAAATACGTATTTAAATAAGCTGAAAGAAAACAAATAAATATTCATATAATATGACGTGTAGAAGAATGAAATAATAATACATCTATGATTCGAATTCCTTAATGCAAATAGCAATAGTCACCCTCTGTGAACGATATTTATCACATTTTACAAACAAAACTGTAACAAATACAAATCAAATAATTTTTCTAAACAATGGCCCGAAATCTAAAAGCTTTGAACGTCAGGTATGTTGTTACGAATTTCTCTTTTGATGGTGTAATATAACAGCATCAGTATTTTAATTTACAAATTAAATTAATGTATTTGATTTGTCATTTACAGACCTTCCAGTATTTATGAATCACAGGCGAACATCGTAGACAATATAATATAATAATATTATAATAGAGTGGCAAAACCAATTAACTGATAATAGAACCACAATAATAATATAGCTGTTATAGGTTAGGTAGATTAGATATAGTGTGTAGTTATCGAAAGTAGATTTCGAATGGAAATCCACTGAGTCTTATACTCTTATCTATTTCGGTGATTACTACCTCCTCCGCGGTTATCGGTTGTCGTCGAGGTACGTACTTCATTGAGTGCCATAAACGTTTGCAGCTTTATATAAACCCTAAGCTAACGGTCACCGGACCTCACAGTGCAGTCCACCTCCAATCCAGATTAATATTCGTGTTCTAGTCGTCACGGCTCGTTACTATCGCGCTCGTACATCATTAGACTGCAAATATTATATTAGTCTTTGCAGATCGACCAGGGTCAAAACCACGTAGACATGCACCAGAACATTTTCATTGTCAGCTTGTTCGCAGTGGTGATAATTCTCCAAATTGCCAACGGTTAGTAAAATATTATATACAATTTTACATTATTTTAACAAAATATGCATTATATATAATATGGTTAATATGTAGTACACAATACATATATTATATTATTTTAACAAGATAAATAATAATATATTGATTAACTATAATACATATTATTACGCATTTCCTTAAATTATTTAGGTCTACCAAATCGCCGTTTGGATACAAATTATATCAATGAAGTGCAAAAGTTGAATGGAAACAATGGATTTATGATGCCATCCAATAATATTCCATTTAAGATCCAAGCAACGCAAACGAAAAATAGACCACCTGCCTATGGTCCATCCGAACCTTACTCATCTCAATCACCTCTTCCACAACCAACCTCGGACTCGCGTCCCACATCGGCAACTGATCCTAAACTGGAAACAGCTACCCCATCGGCAACTAATCCTAAAATGGAAACAGCTCCCCCAACGGCTACTAATCCTAAAATGGAAACAGCTACCCCATCGGCAACTAATCCTAAAATGGAAACAGCTCCCCCAACGGCAACTAATCCTAAAATGGAAACAGCTCCCACATCGGAAACACCACCCACTGCGATGACAAAACCAACTCCTCATAATTATTGAAACATTACCAGCTGCTAAACCAATATTATGTTATTTAAGAATAAAGAAAATTTGAAAAATCATAATATGGTCATATAAGTTGAAAGAAATTATTATATTGATATGAACGAGGTATACTTTAATAATCATTTGTTTTGATATTTAATTTATTAAAAACTGTGTAGTAAAATTGATTTTTATTTTCAATCTTTATGTGGCAAATACCCCAGGTTCTAGTATTTTAACCATAAAAAGAGGTAGTATTAATTTATTATGATATTATGCCCATTAGTGCAATATACACTGTCCAATATCGGCACCGCTGGTGGCTTGTCAGAGTTTCCAAGCCAGAAGTGTCAAATATCGAACAGCTGACATAGAACAAAGTACTCATTGTCTTAACTCCTAATTCCCACTATAGATTATTTTTTTCTAAAAAAAACACTTAGCTCCGATAATCTATGCAAAACTTTCAATACAAGCCGAATTACAAACGAATTCAATTTTAAAAACCATCGGTCGATATTCTCCATAATATTATATAATATGTTTTCAAGAAAATAAACTAACTTGGTTAACTATAAACTCACAAATTTGACATTACAATCATAAAAGACACACCATATTATATGAAACACATTAATACAATTTGTTGGATATTGTTACAGCACTCACCAATTCTGTTGGAATTTATATTCGTTGGTTGAGCATTTTAAAGTTTTGTCTTGTTAACTATTATACACTTCAGAACCATTTTTGTTTGCAAATTTTTTTTTCTATTCGCTAACAAAAAGTTGTCCTGTTGAAAGTCGGCAGTATAAATTAAACCCAACAATATATCAGAGAGTGCTCCAAGAAAATCTGAAAACGAGCTCGACATTAATTGTGGGTACTAAAAAGTGAAACAAAATGTTATGATGGGTATTGTTAGTTACCCATATAGGGACGATAAATATTTTATAAGATTTTTCTAAATAAATGAATATTGACGTATCGTGGCACAAGGATACATACACATTATTGTGTATTCAATAAAATATTATGTTCAATGCGTTTGATCATCTCAGTATCCCGTCTGGACATAATATTATTATTGTGTTGCAATTTATATTATAATATAATATTATGTATCAGGTACGCCATGTGTGTTTAGTCACCGTCAGCAGTGAACATTTTGTCACGAGCAGTAACCAGTTCGGTTACCACCTAATCTTAGCAGTATTTTACACGAGCCGGAACGGTATGAGTAGAAAATAATAATATTGCCAAATGTTATTACTGTAGTGATATTCTCTGGTCTTGAAAATCTGTTTGTGTAAAGTGGTGTGGCCTACGAATATGACCTAACTATAAATTCATTATTTTTAATGCACACGTCGAGTGTGCTCGAGTGATTTTCCCGGCTTCGGTAGACAGTGCGTCTATTATAAATAATACTCCATTGGCATAATACTTGTTATGCATGTTCACTCAGTGTCCTCACTGATTGCCGGATTCCCGGGTGTCAGCAGGTGGTGCAATAGTTATAATAATAATTAAAGCCCCGATATCTACGACACTAACACGGTGACAACAATCTTAAGCGATCGTATATAACACCTTTGATATTGTTAGTGCACCAGGAGAGTCCGTTGCAGTGTTGGGAATTATCTAGATAAAATCATTTATTTAATTATCTTATCTAGATCAAAATAATTAAGCTATCTAATTATCTCATCTAGATAAACGTAATGGTTATCTGTGATAATTTATCTAGATAAATAGTATAATAATAATAATATTTTTAAATACTGAAATAGCCAATAATTTACGAGAATCGAGTAGTGATTCCAAATTCCAATATTATTATAGTTAAAAAAAGAAATGTTTACTGAAACATTGTCAGTTTTATTTTTATTTAAGTTATATTAAACATTAAAATTGTATATTATTTTAGTTAAGAAATGACATTGAGGATTTATTAACTAATAAATATTACCTAATTAGTAATTACTAATAAAGTAATAAATTAAATTATTTATAATATACTTTAAAAACAAATTAACTATTTTTTTATCTAGATAAATGTGTGTGTATTTTTATCTTTGTCTAGATACAAAAAAAATTATGTTATATTTTATCTTACCTAGATACATTTTGAATGAAATATCTGTTATCTTAACCAGATGATTTTTTGGTTATCTTTTCCTAACGCTGGTCCGTTGTGTAGTTTTGCAGGCGACGGAAAAGGAAGCTTGCACGTCCTTTTGGATAATTTTTAATGAACTCCCAACGCGAATCGATCGAAGCACAAATGAAAACAAAAATACTGACAGACAATTTTGTTTGAATGAAAATCTCGTTTGCTCTCAGCGCCGCCAACCGTACTACCCCATCGTGCTAAGATCTCGATCGATCGTGTTCGTATACGAGACAAGTAATATCGTATAATACAGTCCCCCAGACACGTCCGCGTTGAATGTTTTTATAAGATTCACGGTAAAATCAATATTAGCGTCAGTGGAAATGAAAACGAAGACGAGAGACTGTCACTTGCGAATAACATATTTTTTTCCTTCAGCATTCGATTATACGCATTGTCATATTATCCTATTGCAGTTGGTAAAAACAATATTGCATAACTTATTTCAAGTGTTTGTCTATTCGAAATATGTCGGTGTACAATTAACATGCACTTTATTCATAAGGTAGAATTTACACATTTATTTTTAGTTTATAATATGTCAAGGCCCAGGGGTAAAGTATTGAAAAACGAGACGTAAAGTTTAAATGTTTGATATTTTAATATTAGTTATAAGTTTTAACACGCATTGTATTTGTATACATCATCGGATCTAACCATCAGCTTCAAATTTAAAGTCATTCTACATATCCTTTTAATCTCACTGGAACGTACAAATGTAACCTTTTATTTATTTAAATTCAATACGAACCATTCCCGTTGCTTTTAAAACCTATTTTCATTCCAACGTACTTATCGATCTAATTACAGGTTAAGAATTTTTAAAACAGGTTTAGATCCTTCAACTTACATAATTTCTTTCTTAGATCCTACTATAAGGCAATCATCAACAAGTTTGGATTTACTATGCTTATCGGAATTTGACTTTTGTAATGTAAACATTTAAGTATATTCAATAAGACGTGCCAAACGAATACTACTCTTAAGATAAATAAATGGAAAATGTATTCGTAGGATCCAAAGTCGACATATTAAGACGTCCAGATCTAATTACAAATTTCAATATAAAAATCGCGTCATCGATCCGATTGGTGTGACGGAATGAAAACTTGTAGATTTAGCCAATATAATATTATTATCTAATACATCTGGCATAAATGTTGCCTATATAGAACTCCTTACAAACGGAGCATTACAAATCCCCTTAAAAAGATGATACATCCGTACATACTACATATACCAGAATTCGTTGTCTCCGTCTTGCAAACGCATACCATACTAGAATATTATCTAGTGGATTACACAGGTTTTTTTTAATTTTAATTTTAAATCGATTTATAAACATTTACAGAATATATAAAATACTTAAAACTTGCCTTAAAATATGAAAAAACTTAAGTAATCCACTAGATGTTAAAATTAAATTATTCAGAACGTACAATTTTCTATGTTATGCGTTTGTAAGATTGAGACAACGCATGTGTCCTCTCAACTCACGAACCCATCATAGGGTAGCGTTTCGTATAGGTCCCTCATGTGTCTCGTGTGTCGATCTGCATTTCGATTTGGTCACTATTCTACTAAACCTTTTTTTTGCTTGGGCCACATGCATTTTTTGTTACGTTACGTGGTCCGCAACACAGGAATTTATATTTGGAGAGGGGTGATTCAGAAAAGATATAAAAATTAAAAACAAATTGATTATTATAATCTCATAAAAAGCTTGGAAAGACTTAACAGGTTTATTATATTTCAGCCAAATAAACCAGGGGATCGAAAATTGTGAAAGACTATAATTATAATGTATTATTACAATTCATGATACGATGGGCACTGAGGTCACATTCTTTAATTCGTTCATTAAACTTGCATCTCAAGGATTATTTATAAACATCTGCACAGCATTCGTCTGACGAAATTATACATATTTTATAATAATATTATAAAATTATTTGATACATGCCCGGTACTAATCGATTATTAAAACGTAACCATCGCTCTCCCCTGAGCGATGTCTGGATATAATTATGAAAATAGTGTTGTCTGAAAAGTTTAATGTCGCAGACGTTACGTTGTATTAGATACAACGCATTCCTTAAAAAGCAAAGTATAATAATTATATCGTGAGATTTGTGACACAAAAACGTAATAATAATATATAATGTAATAAAGTACCGAGGATGATTTGTATAAGCTTAGGACACTAATCGTTTCTACTTTAGAAAAATAAATAAAATATATAAATTGACAAAAGAAAACACACACACATACATACTTGATTACTAAAAACATAACTAATATAATATTATTATTTATTATGACTAAAAATTACTGACGACATAATATAGGTATTATATAGTACCTATTATTATTTATATGTTTTGAAATTGAAGTTTTTCCAACTAAATACTAAAAAACATTAATTGTTTCTCTCAGTTGGCGTAATAATAATAATATTATTTTATATTATTATGGACCCTATTATTATAGGTTCATGAGTGTAATATTGCATATAATGGAATACTAAGGGGCCTCAAATCGTACTAGTAAACATGAAATCATCATTACCTACGTAAAAACATAATTCAAACCAATCAACAGTAACATTCATTTTAGATTCTGTGCGGATCAATTAATGTATTGTTTTTACAATGATGAGTGTTTTATTTGTCTCTGTCATCACTGTTTGGGGCAGCAACACTGCTTCGATTTTCTTCAACAGTAACTCGTTCCATGGGAAAGTGAATCTAGTCAAATTTCTTTTACAATCAATTAAAGTTGGAATTTCATCAACATTTATCAGGTTTAAAATTGATTTTTTAGTTTTAAATTTATAAAA